AATCCGTACGGCTTCTCTTCCCGGATTGTTCGAATACCTTTGGAAGCCTGGGAAGGTCAAGGTTGCTAAACCTGCTATCCGAAAATGGAGTTCACCCTGGTGTGTATAGTCTGTTATCTGACTATGTTACAGATTGTACTCACTTCACTAAGCAAAAACGGTAGGTAATCCTCTGTTCGTCGTGCCGACTGTATTGTTCTATAGGGAGCGATCCTATCACCTTTCCTATTTTCCTTGTATGCTGAACATCTCCCTCTACAAACCACGTTTACAGAGTGTAAATATGCTGATGATGTTGTGCTGGGATGTATGTCCCCCACTAACCAGGATTCCTCATCACTGCAACGTGGGCTAAAAGATCTGGTGGAATGGTTTTCATCCAGATCTCTTAAGCTTAATGCTTCCAAATGCCGGGATGCAATATTTTCTTTTCTACGTGGCAGTCCCTCATAGCTTTCTCCCCCACACTTATTGCGAATGAAAATCCCATACCCAGCTCTTCCACCGTCAAGTATCTTGGCGTCTTTTTGTCCCAGAACATTTGTTGGTTCACACATGTCTGTAAAACCTTCTAAAAAATCAGAAAACTTTATTTTAATGCCCTCAGAGTTAAGGTGCTTTTAGTATCACGTACTTTAATATTCAGATTTGTGACCTCTTGTATTATTCCCCATTGGCTATACTGCTCTTCTGTCATTTAACCTGGACTGCTTCAGAAAGACATTGGTGCGATCTATAAAGCACATTTCTGGATGCAGTGGCTTGTCTAGAGATACTTTAGTTGATTTCATCATTTCTAGACATCGGCAACGATTTTTCTTCTAAGATACTAACTGATCGTTTCATCCACTTAACAAAGATCTTTCCAAAACGCTCTCTTCCTCTTCTGCTCGTTCGAAATACGGAATTTTATTCTCTCGCACATCATATCGTAATACTGGTTTGCATTATCTCTCACGTTTGCTTGTTGACAAAGCAAAAGTCACTAACACCGCCTTTTTCCCGTTTTTCTCCCCAAGCATGTATATTGATATCATCATCCAGGTGTCCGCAGTGGTGGTGTAAATGCTGAAAATGAACCCATTAGGGTTCATAAAGCTTATTTTGATTTGACTGGTGACTTGATTTGGATACCAGAATGCAAAGTCGAGGGCAATGGTGGGCAATTGAACCACTGTACAAAGTGCTGTGTCCAAATCGGCGCTGGTGATTGTGAATTGATACACCGCTGGTTTCACATACCCCATCGCTTACAGTTGGATTCGTGCCACAGATAGATAGGATAAGAGTTTGTGGAAATTCTCTGAGGATGCAGCATGTTCCATCTCGATGATAAGCTGCGTTCACCAGGCTTGACGATCTTACCTGAGGAGCTATTTGAGTCCGATGTTGGTAGCTCGGTGCAATGAGGTATACTCAACGCCAGTAGGAATTGTCCAGCGGTCTTTCATCATTTAAGAAGATCGATTGGAAATGCATCGGTTGATGGTGCGCTTAGCGAAACCGCAGATGACGCTGGCGAACTTGTGTACGATACTCTGGACATGCGTCCAGTGCGCCACAACAACTAGGAGCCGTGTACTCTTAGGTTTGGAGGCTACCGAGTTCTGAAAGGCACTGCGAATATTGGAGCGATAAGTTTGGCAAGATCAAGCCGTTTCCGACGGTGTTGGGTGCCACCAAAGCGGAGGGCAACTTTAACATGTACAAATGCGCGATCAGAGGAGAGAGAAGTATTCCAAATTGATTTGCAGTCAGTTATGCAACCTCGCCAACGGTAACTGATGTGGATGTGGTCAATCTGCTTCCACGGCTGTCCAGGCGAAGGAAGTCGCCAAGTGACGCGCTGGTGTTAAGAACGCTGAAAATATGTGCTCAAAGAGAATAGAACGTGATCGGCACAGATCTGTAGAAGACGTTCTCCGTCCTGCGAATACCATAGCCATACAGACCACTGAGGTCGCGTTCATCAGCATCGAGTCTACCAACCTGAGCGTTTAAGTTCCCGGCGAGCACCATGACATCCGTGCAACGGTTCTTATGGAGAAGGCCGGAGAGTTGATGGTAGAACTGGTCTTTAGCTGAGTCCGGGCTGCAATCCGTGGGCGAATACGGTGCTACGACAAACAAACAGCGAGTGTTAGCCTGGCAGCTAGACAATCGTGCAGAGCTATCTAGTAGAATTACACAGTCGGCTAGTAACTGGGATCCACTAAAGTAGTGCAGCTACTGAGCGCACTTAACGCAATTCCCACACCGTTCAAGCCCGCGGGTTCAGCGGTTGCGTATCCGAATAAGTGTTGTGTGAACATATCGTGGGAACATGCAGAAGGCGATGTCAGCCGTTGTGTTGTGCTGGAGTCCTGCAAGCAAGTCTCAGTGAGGCAATATATGTCGACAGAGGGTTTCTATAGGGTGAGCAAGGGCTACACGAGCATCCGGATATTGAAAGCGGCTAGAAGGGTCTTGTGTTCGCGATTACGTGGCACATGGACGGTCTTAAGCTGCTCATCGACACGGTTGGAACCGTCCATCAAGGCCGCACGTTGTCGGAGACCCGATATCAGAAGGGGATTGCCAAAAACGGGTGAATTCAACGTAGACTATGGATACCGCAGAATGACTACGATAAGCGTAACCTCCGCTTCCTGCCGCAGAAGTGTAAACGACCCGAATTAAGCATGGGATAATGACTAAGTTAGAATGAAATAAATAGCACGGGACCGAGAGTCTCAGATACGGAGGAATATCGGAGCTGTCTATAAAGCATATAAATAGGATAAGCCGGCGAAAGCAGTAACCTTTACACATCCTCCCAAGACGATAACAAGTGCATCTGAGACCGTCATGTGTGTTTGCAATTGATCCATTGCAAGCAGAATTACAAACCACACAATGTATTGCAGTATGCCACAAAAAATGCTGCGACGTGATCGGCGGGTGTGGCTGATGTGCGGTATATCAAAAAATAACGAAAAATGCGACGTGACGACATATCTATCAGCCACAGTAAGGCGTAGTATACATACTACAGAGCATGCGGCACCGATTTGCAGTGGAGGGCAAGACAACAATTTTATTACCATACTCCAGTTAGACCGTCCTGACTGTTCAATGCAACTTTGATCAATGTGTCAGTTCCTTGTTCGAGAGTGTGTTCATCGTCGGTACGTTTGGCTCATTCGGTTGTGATTGTCTAGTTGCCTTATTGTTTAAAGCAAGTTGGGTGGTCCTTTGATATCAGGTTTCTTGTCATCTATGCAAGCATGAGCTGAGTGCTTTGGTGTCGTGGCATTTGCAATGACTTCGGATGGATTTTATTATGCACGCGGCGAGTAACGTCAAAGGATTAATTAACTAAGTAACCATTCCAAATGATGGACACCAGTGAACTTCATGATGCGAAGTTCGTAGTTGACCGCCCTTCTGGTTGTGCATGATCCCGACTAGATAATTAGAATAAGTTCGATAAATGCTTATCAACCTCCTGCACCATGGTGTATTGTTTTTAATTAAGGTGCTCAACTAGGTGAAGCCGAAGTCATCGTAAGAGGGGATAAAGAAACCGATCAAGACCCATCGGGTCGATGCGCGTCGTCTTTTCGAACAGAGCTCAAGGATTAAACGCAGAGACGGTTAGAAAACAAAGCAAACATGCGCAATTGTAAGGCCAACGAAGCTACTCCATTCGGCCTGTGGTTTCATCTGCTGACCTTCCCAATCTACAATGGCAGCTCTCCAGTATACTTCTTTCAGCTTTCGACCACGTCTTTGCGTTATTCCCTCTCCATTTCGCTGTGCTGTTGTTAAACACTTCCGCTATGGCGACGCGAAGCATAACAACGGAATCCATAGCACATTGGGGACTGGACTATAGTTAGTCATATTCCGTTGTTGCAAATTGACCGGACAATGTTCATCAGAATCGCTGCAGTTGAAAACTGCATTTCCAATTAGTGGCGCGTTAAGTTTATCGATGAAAAGATGGCGATACACTACCGTTAGACGGTTCGGACGTGATGCGCTCGAGTAGAGAAACCAGGATACGGATCATTAAAGTGGTGCAATTTTCAGGTTTTGAATGTGAATCGGTTTTTGTAGGTTTTTAATGTGGCAGTTTTCAGTTGAGAAATTAGAGCGGCGAGTTACCAACAGATCGTATACTTCAAACAAGTCCTAGTGTATCTGGATGAGCGTGATAATGGTGAGTAAGTTGCCCCAAGTAATTCCGTGGTGTCAATGCACCACTCCGTTCCCAAGACCACTATTTTCAAGCACTCAGCTCTCGGGGAACGGAATTTCGTAAAGCGTAGCGGTCTTCAGGAGCATGACTGCCTTAATCAATAGGTGTATCGTAGGATCGGAGGCTGCAAAGGAACGAAAATTCCACCAGAAATCTAAGAAAAATGAGTGCCGGATGATAAGACGTGAATTTCTCATAGATCATGCAAACACACGAATTCGTCACTGAAGCCGAATATGTGCAAGGAATAAATAGAGAGATACGAAGAGCAGATGAAACTGTGAAGGGTGTGCAACTAGACAGAGTTCGTTAAAGTACTGCTTAGTGGAACTAAATGACGCTCTCCTCAGTTCTGGATGGTTGGTGTGCAGGGTTATCCGCATCACAATGTAGTAGCCAAATGCCATCTTCGCTGCAGCCAAGAGCCTTAAGGCTGACAATACAGCTGCATGCTGATGGTAAAAAACGTCCTGTACAGAGTCGACATTTTGCTGAGTAATATTCAGACGCTGCAAGGTTGATTCATCCATTCTTCAGACCGAAATTGATGGGGGTGGAATACTAGTGATGTCCAATTATCTGTAAACACCAATCACGTTCGGATGTCACAAGAAAAAAGTTCTCCAGTAAGATACAATAAAATTAAACAAAATCGGAGAAGCGGATACAAGAAATGTGGCATAATAAGGGGTCAAAAACGATGATAAATAATACCTAGTAGTAGGGTACTCAAAGATAAACGTAAATGAGAACGTACCGGACAATCTGGCTCCACCGAACGGTTGTTGCCCGACGACGGACCCAGATGACTGCGCATTTATGTAAAGGTTCCCAGCCGTATCGATTAGACGGTCGGTAGCATGCTGTATGAAAGCCGGGTCGTTGGCAAATATGGAACCTTATAAAAAGAAATGGGTGGTAGTTAAGTTAAAAAATGCACATCTGATAAAGGATTCTGGTTGTAGTGTTGCGACACTATAGTAGGAAAGAAACCGGACTAAGAAATAAGAAACGGAGGGACGGGTAGAATGCAGCGGAGAGAAATAAACAGCCAACGGAGAGGAAAATATCATAGTCAGTAAATGGGTGCCCTTAAAATATCTGGTTGTTTGGAAAGTGGTTTCGTTTTTTCCGATGAAAACAAAAAAGATTTTGTTATAGTGGAAAAATATTTCATTGAATTATATACTATCGATTCTGGTCCAGTAGCTTTTGTCATCTTTCTGGCAGTAGCATGATTCGACGCTCACAAAAGTTTTGTTCTTTGCTGGCAAAAACTGATCTAGGTGATTTTTGACCTCATTTTACCGTCTAAAAAAGTTTTGTAGAGACGAGAAGAGATAATAACCAGAAGGTGCCAGATCTGGAGAATATGGTGGGTGTGGCAGTGCATCCCATACAAGCTGTAAAAGCTTTTGGAGAGTTACCAAACTTTTATGAAGTCTCGCATTATGTTAGTGGAACACTACACCATTTCTATTGATTAATTATGGCCTCTTCTGTTTAGGTGAATGAATCAACTTGTCCGGCGGATAACAGTCGTAGACAACCAATTCTCGTCCCCAGTGATGATGCGCTTCAAGTATGGACCATTATTTCGAGACTGGAGAAGCAAAACACAGACGTCAACGTGATGGCACAAATTTTTTTTCCGCAAGAACACGAGGAACCCATATGTCGAACTTTGAGATGAAACCTAAGCGATCCAAAAGATCATGAACAGTTGAATTCGATAAATTTAATATCGCAGCAATCTCACGAGATGTTATTCACCGGGTTGCATCAATTACTGCAAATTAATTAATTAATTAACGCCGGATCGAAATTTTGCAACCCAGTTTTGGCACTGGCGTTCGGTCAATACATCATTTCCATAAACATCGGATAAGTTTTTGCTTGCTTGAACAGCATTTTTACCGTTTCGTTAGCAAAAAGGTAAGATATGCCGAAAATGATGTTTTTCACTCTCCATATTTGAAAGGGCGCCAAACAAAAATTACTGCGTGGAATCAGTCGAACATTTACACAAGCAAGCCCTGTTATATCAGCTGTCAAAATATAAAATATGCGACTTAAGTGTGAAGTTGGCTGTGACAAGAATACAATCAAGTCCCATGTTGGGAAAAAACGAAATTACTTTCCGAACAACCAGATAACAAGAATAACACTCATGCGGAACGAATGTTGATGTCATGCTAATAGCATATTTGCTGACTTCCGCAATATGTTTATGGGCGATTCAGAGTGTGCAGAGGGAGAAGAGCGGTAGGGTATCAGCAGCATCCTGTACCGACAACTTCGCTGCCACAACCAGTCGCACGTGGGTTAGGAAGAGTGTAAGGTAACCAGAGACCACGCAGAATCGAACCGGTGATCTTTGGATTGCAAGACAGATGCCTGAACCATTCGGATACAGAAACGCTTCGAGTGTGTTACGCAATAAGCGGTGCTCAAAAGCCATCGAAATACGGAGGATGTAGGGGGCCAAAGTGAGTTCGCACACGAAGAACACAAGTTAGGGTGTTAATAGCGCTGGTATCCCACCGCCGAGGCAACAGGAAGCAACTTACAACAGCAATTTACTGTAGAATATGAAATTTGGAACCTAGCAACCAGAAATCTGATGGTGAGATGTGGGTTGCTGAGTCCATCTTCAGGATATGAAACGCTTTACCACAGTTTGATGGGGCGGTCGTCACACAGCTGGAAATATGGCAAGTCTGTTGGGCGCACGTAAAGGAGAACAACCAAGACCCAAATGCAATAATTCGTATCGAATGCGATCAAAGCTAGCGTTCAATCCACCAACACGCAAGTGAAGACATGAAATAGCGGGAGAAATCAAGAGGTCAGTCGCCTCCCGACTACCGTTGCCACGAGCAGGTGAGTGAGCAAGATCGAGAGTTCAAAGTAAACATCTTGAACTGTCCAATGAAGAGATGTCTTGAATTTCCGTGGTATAAGTGTAATCCTACAAATGCGCAATACTGACGCAAAAGCAAGGATTTGATGACAGTAGACTTAATGTCGTCGTACGGTTGATTGGAAGCAGTTTAAGTAATTGTGAACGGACTGAATACCAATTGCGATCGTCGCAAATGCGCCATTAAGAAGACATGGGAGGCCATTTGCCCAACCTAATTGGAACGTTCTTTTTATGGATAAATTTCCGGAGCGCCAAATAGTTTGCTTGGAGTGAAGGAGACAGTTCCATTTGGTATTTATCTTCAGGGTTCTCATAACGTCATGAGATTACATTTAGGAGTCTAAGAACTAAGCTGAAGCGGGGGTTGTCTGCAAAAATCTGCAAAGGAAAAAGGTCAATTTCATTTGGAACGGATGAGTGCTGTTCAAACTAGCTGGGAGCAGGGGCACAAGAAAGATCTCAGTTACAGAGACAGTCGAGAAAAATGGACAGACAATGGGTTCTAAGACACACTGACCAGACCACTGCGTAAAGCAGTGTAAAAGAACAGCCTAACAGGTCTTTCAAAGCACTAGCAGTTGCTGAATCTGAAACATTAAATTCTTTTCATAATTCTAAATAAGAATATCAGAACACAAATGTTGTAGGATGACACTGTTATTTCGTGCATTCTCCTCGGCCAAGTACATGCAAATAACAAAGAAACCCAAATAAGATCGATCTCTTTTTGGAGAGCATAAACTTGACGCACAAGCACATGTGTACACTTGACGTGCAGTCACTTTTCACTAATCTTCAATAAACACTGAGTATATACGAGTAAAAGGAGCACTGCTTTACAAATCCCGCTGACTGGTCTGGAGAATTCTCGAAAAACCACAGTGAAAAAGTGCAGTTAGTACATTTATTGTTAAAAGTGTGGACTCTTCATTTGTTATGCAGTAACTCTGCACTCCGCGTATTTTCACAGATACAATAAACGACAAATAGTGAATCCAAGGTATTTCCTGAGAGTAGGACGGAGAGATAGTTTTAAGTAACAAAATGTAAGTAGCTGAGCGTGTCTTCAAACCGAATTGTAAATATGGCTAATGTAAGTGCAGAAACGACCGATTCAAGGAGAGTATTCAGAACGAGAGACCTGAGAATAGAAGGGAAATTTCTCCAGCACTCCAGATGACTGTACTGTTCTGCTAATTTTAAGAAGTGACCTCTCAAGTTTCTGTTACTGCTGAGTTGCAGTAAGCAGTGGCATACATGAATTGGGTTGTGTAAAATCAAGTATGCCATTATCAGGCCGCCCCGTAATCGGCGATACCATCTGCTGAATATTCCCAAACGCTTCAACCTTTGCCCAAAGGGGGGATTGGGCATTCCAATTACGTATTTGAAAGCCCGACGTTGACCCTTTCCCAGGGCAGGGAAGGGGGCCTTTAGCCAAGCTTGAATTGCGTTTTCGGCATGGGGGGGAAAATATGCATTGAAAATCTGTCTGAGGATAGAGGTGCCTGGTTGTCGGACGGCCCGTCGTCGGAGGCGGACGTGTTGTTTACCAGTTTTCTATGCATTTTCGGATTGCCTTGAACAACCCAAATTATCTTGGCCAGGCAGGTCAAGGCCGCGTCCGACGGATGATCGCTTGTAAGAATAGATACTCTGGTTTCGGTGGGAGGGAAACTTGCATTTGCTTCAGCCGGACTGCAGCAGAGTTTGGGTTGGCCACTGATGTGCTATATTAAACTTAAACTTAAGTTAATTCTGATCGGATTCTGCCTTGATTCTGCAGCATATCTTGATATTGTCAGCAAAGGGCAAGACAATTGTAGTTATTTTCCGTTCAAGATCAATGACGAATGCCAAAAACAAACGTGGTCGTGAGGGACACCAAAGTCCACACTTGTGTGGTCTGAGATGGGGTTACGAACTCTGAGAACTGAATATCGTAGCAGGAGAAAGTTGGCGATTTAGTTCTAGAGAGGATCACCGATGCCGCAGCACTAGTACTTAGAAAGGAAAAAAAGATGATCCAAACGATGGAATACCTTCGACAAATTCAAGTAGAGTACGTCAACGTCCTATACAGCGTCAGCCGACTCGGTCCATATACTCCGTGTGATTAATAAAATTGTTGTGTACGATCTCTGTGGGTGAAAGCGGTGTTGCTCAGGAGTATTAATATTATAATTCTTCTGATAACACACAAAAGCATCGGCAATATTGGATATCATTACAGTGGGTCGTGTAGAGAGAAGATATACAGTGTGGTACTCTGAGCGCTCTGAGCTGTTTCTGCGTTTGTGAATCGGAGGGTCCCCATGACAGGAAACTGGTTACAAGCGATACAGAGCTGAGAAAACTGGACCAAAAGTGTTACTAGTCAGCTCTCGGCTGCTCCCATTGCTTCTCGGCGAATATAGTCGATACCCGAGGAGATGTGGGGGTGTAGAGACGTCACCTTCTGTAATATAGCTTCATCAGTAATAGGTGTTGGTGAGTCCTGGAAGCAGGAGGAAAAAAGAAAAAGAAAGACCTAATGGCGAAAACGCCTGAGCTGTGCTGGTTAAATAAGTCCGCAAGGCGTTTGCGGAGCGTTTTGTTGTGTTTCTTTTTTCATCTCCCCCTCCAATCCCGATCCCATGCAAAACGCATAATATAATATCTAACATCGTATTTGTGTGAGGTGGACAGGGTCGAGAAGCAATGTATCGAGGTCTTTAAAGATGGACAGTAGGTCAGTGTGCAGAGGTGATGAACTGAGGTCAGAATAAAGAGGCCAAAACAAAACAATTGCATTCATCGGTCGCAAAGTCATGTCACCATTCATTAAAGCACATCGTAGCTAGAGAGTGAGAAAAATTCCACCTGATGTGCCGCAATACAGCACAATCAGGTCAGTAAAACAACAAAATAAAAATAAATATTATTATGCTTGTTTTTTCATACATGGGCAATGTGATCGTGGTTGGAGAAGATGGTAAACTGGATGGGGTGGAAAAAAGAAGCAAGGCAAATGTATTGAGGCCGACTACTGGTCATGTCAACAAGTGTATCTAACTAAAGGTGTTCATCGTCATTCGGACAAAAGCACCTGAGTTTTGGCTATACGGTTCGTGATCTCATCCCCTCTTACATAGTTATTAAATTTTTTGACAACTAGTAGAATCCACCAAGAGTAAGGACATGATGTGGACCGGGCTAATCTTGGAGAAAAGCTTTGCACTTGGAAAGTCGAAAGCAGAATCCGGAACGGCCGACAACCAGTGCTAATCTGTCCAGTGCTGCTTAGCCGATTTGAAGCTGTCACAGATCAGCACAATGTCGTCGACACACTGCAAGAAAGTTGTTCACCTGAAAGTAGATCCACACCTAAGTCGTGTCTTGTGAACGCGATCGCCATGATTTCGTTAAAAGCGAAGTTGAAGACGAAAGGTGACAGCGGGCATCATTGTTTCACACCACTGGAGACATTGAAGGGCGGCGACAGCTTGTCGCAAACCTTCACTCGGCTCGAACTACGTGCATAAAGTGCGCTTATGGCATTTACCAATTTATCGGACACCTTTTACCTGAGCAGACAGCCCAAAGGATCACATCATTCTTTGCTCTCGAAAAACACGAGGACGGTGGGTCTGCGATCTAAGTGGTGATGTTCCAACAATCAATGTAAAGTGAAGACGTGGTCAGCACAGCCTCGATTTCGACGAAATACGGTTTGCGCTTCACGAATCTGGCTATCACGGGTGCCAGTCAGTTTATAGAGAATGATAATAGCAAGTAACTTGGATATGATGGAGATCAGATTGATGCCTCTGACGGTCGCATTACGAACGTGTGCATATTGGGATAATGATGGAGAGGTCCCAGGCTGTCTGGACAGTCTCCCGCTCCCATAGCTTCACTATTAAATTGTGCAGATCAACCACAAGAACAGGCTCCTCAAATCTGAAGAGGGTTATAAGAAGTGCATCTGGTCCCCTGACTTTATTCAACTTCATCAGTCCGATCTCACGTCCGATTTCTGCGCGAAAAGTCGGATTCAAAGGGATGGTACATGGAGGATGGGGGCACGGGCAGAGCACGTATCTCGTACTTCTGACTAATTAAATGAATTTTCAAAGTGCTGAGCCCAAAGCTTCAAGCGTTTTGAGGCTGTGAATAGGCTGTCCACTCTCATGGCACATAGTCGCGCTAACATCAGGTCGCCTGCTATCCGGTTCCTGTATAAGACAGAATAATTTACCATGGTTACCAAGGACAGGGGCTGTTTCGATCGCTGGTGCGAGATAAGACCAGCAAGCTTCGCGGTCTCCCTTCAGGTAAGCACGCAATTTTCCTCCCAGATATTTGCGAGTCTCGTTGAGTTCGTTCCCAGCCAAAATGCGTCAGCAAAAAGATTAAAAAATAAAGGCATCAGCAGCATGCCGGCACACCGTACCGACGTTACGCTGCCCCGAGATCACCGATCGCGCGTGAGCTGAGTATACCGCGAGGTCATCCGCAGATTCGAATGGGTGACTTTTGGGTTACGAGACAAGCGCGTAATGCTTTCGGACATTGTCGTCGAGCCTCCATAAGTTCCAGAGACTGCGTGGTGACCAAACATCCAGGTTTGCGATGCGATTTACCACATGAAGACATATCTGAAGCGAATAATGCTTGGTGAACATGGGGCCAGTGCGCACCCATTGTGTTCAGTGAGCGCCTACTTAACCCAAATGTCAGCGCATTTGGATACGAATCCAAAAGCTCTGATTTTGGTAGCTGGCAAATATTTACGTTCTCAAAGCATCATCGCGGCTCTGCTGAAACGCACCGGGAGGTAGGCACATACAAATGCATGGTCGGAGCCCACGCTAGTGCTCCAAAACTAGCTACAGTCTTGGACGCAACCCTTAAGATGGTAACTGATCGTGATGCGATCAATTTGCGTCCATTGCTAGTGGATGTCATGTCATCTTTCTGCGGATGCTGTGTAGAAAGCTAGTGCTTGCGAGAAATAGACAAGCATCTTCACAAAAAGAGACGTTGGTGTCCCACGTGGCACGGCGACATGTCTGCGGTCGCCTGTGATGCGTAATTATGCACAAGTGTCAAGAAACGAACAGCCTGAGTTTCAATGATGATTACCACATGGGAAGGCGTTGGAACTGGTGAGGAATGCAGTAAAGTAAATAGGTTGTTGACGAAAGAAAGCTCACCTGTCAGAGCATAATCAGTGGTGGAGTCGATCAGATCCATGGTTTCCTCCAACTTGTCAGGATCGTATAGATAGACTGATAGAATGGGACCGAAAATGTCATCCTGGAGGGATGGGGGATGATCGAGCATTTGAACGTGACAAATAAAGGATGTAGAGACGAGAGGTGAGGTGTTCGGATGGATGGAGTGAGGTAAATAATCGACGATGCAAAGAAATGTACCTCAAATTAACAACACTGACAGCATTTCTCGAGGAACAAAAATGTCTGCGAGTGGTCCTAAGAAACACACAGGAAAAGTAGAGAGGGGGCAGTAACCGGGGGTTGCTCTCCATATGTGACACCGCAGAAATCCTGAAAACGCTAGGGTGTTGGCAGTGAGAACCATCATAGGCCCATTGATATAGTTCGACCGGCGCGTCAAAATGGATGGGAATATACATAGTTACGACGCACGACCATCCGTGCCATGGAGTATCTCACTAGAGAAAATTAGGGAACAATTGTGTTCCAGAGCCGTGCTGCTGAAATTCTCACTTAGCGAAGAAGATGACGAGTTATTGAACCAGATAAAATAGTCTGAAGTGTCGGACGCTACCGTGCATACTATCCACCGATGCCCTGGTATCTAGAGTGCGCGGTTAAAAAGTGCAAGTTAGAAGAGGAGAACATATAGACAGTGTATGGAAATAGATACCGAAACTAAAGCCAAATTTCTCGCGACAATCAAGAGCTGATCATCAGAGATGGTGGAGATTTTGAGTGAGGACTTACTCTAATCTAAGGGGAGATCGGACAGTATGGTGGAGGTGTAGAATAAATTGATTTTCATTGAAAAGGAACTGGGTGGTGTTCCATAGACCCCAAAAGACTTCATCGTAAACAGTATATTCTTTAGAGTTACCAGCGTTTCTAACTGAAATTCGCCGCAATTGGACCCGAGGAGAGGACCAACAACGATCGTAAGTAATATGTAATCATTAGTAAATCGGCCACGTCAACTGCCGACATGCACTATTCGGCTAAAGCGACCGGTTGGGTCATGGTTGTGACACTTTTACACAACGAAGAGAACTGGTGCTATCGATAGGTTGTGAGACGGATGAACAACGGTCCATCGCTTGTACTGATATCAGTGGCCGCCCGACTGAGTTAAGTTCTGCTGAATACCAGTTGAACCATCTAATTTCCTCTGCTGCCGATTCACATGTTGTCTTTTCAATAAAATGTTCGCTATTATGAAGCGAAAGTTAGAACCTCAACCCTGAAATTTGGGGAAGAAATCACATGTTGGCATCGAGAGATATAGGAAAGTAGTGAGGGTAACTACGGAGGCTTCCCAATTACCACGTAGACACGGAGGAAATAGCCGTGTCTGTCTTAGCTAAACAACGCAGTCATCGCAATTCACACCCTAACGGCGTTCATGAGAGCTCTGTATTGGTTCTAGGACGACCACAGGTGCACGGACAATTGACTTCGCTAGTATAAAAGTGTATTTCTAAGAAAGCACTCCGAAAGAAAAAACTAAAATGCCTACCTTAAAAAGCTTGTCGGAAGGGTTCTTAACCAATAAAATAGTCGGCTGAATGAAATAGCCTCTGGTATCATCAGCATCACCACCAGCAATCACATCAACGTCCGGATTGGACTTTGCGTAATCCAAGTAGCTTTTAATCTTCTTGAAGGCCTAAAGAGAATAAAAGATAAGGAGAGTGAGACAAGAATACAATCTGCAGCCGTCGAACCTAGCAAGTCTGTCTCCCAAAGGAACATCTCAATGATATGCCCACCAGAAATAAGTAACTGCATCAAAAACCATAGGAATCCCGTACTAGTATTAGCACAAATAACCTGGTAGTTGACTAAGGGAGAGCATGAGCTAATTGAGAAAGCACCAGCGAATTGTTCAATGGTGGAGGTGATAATCCACAATTGCCTGGGGGTTGAACAAACGGCAAACGATTGACCTAGGCTGGAGCCGACAGTGCCACAAGATCTGGAGCCCGAGGTGTTTATGAGGTAGAGAATAGCAAATGCCGACCGCAATTCGGCCAACAGAACTTCGCACGATAACCGAAACAGATAAACACAGAATACATAGGTGGAGAGGCACTATTACATAATATAAGCAAAGAAAAACAAATCGTTCCGTGGCTACTAAACCTTGATGATAGCCGAGTACTTGCTCGGCCCTTGAAGAGATACACAACAGGGGGCAAGAGCTGTGACTCACCGAAAATTTTACTACTTAAGCAAAGATGCGAATGGTGAGCAACACTATCCCTATTTTGAAAAATCCTAGTAAAAGAACATCCCCAATTATAAGCGAGGGTATTACTTGGTGTACGGAGTTCACTGCGCTCTCACTTATGCTGACTTATTGCGATATGGTGCAGTCGGCAGAACGGGGAGTAATAATGCTAGGATGTCCCAGTGGAGGCACACTGGTCAGAAATTGCACATTGGTTCCACTGTCTCCTGATATGATAGCGAAGTATGAGCTACCAAAAGTGGATTCGCCGTGTCCTTGGTTGGCAAATCCACATTCTGTGCTAGTAATCAAATTATATGTAATGATCACAGGATAAATTCCGAGTCAACCGGTGCTGATAACTCCAAATGGTGGGTCACGGATAACAGTCCACATTAGCTTGGTAAGTGACAACAGCGAACGTAGACAGTAGATATCGATAGGATGTTGCACACGCTCCCATCAGCTTGATGAGCCGGAAATCTCGGACGCAGCGATCATTTCTGGGAAACAGGACTCTAAGTGACGGATAGAATTAGAAAGCCGTCTAAAGATTGAAATAGAGAGTGGACATAAAACCGAGAAATTGCTAAAGTAGCATATGGTCCGGGCGATTGGTCACCTTCAGTGCCTTTCGCGGATAAAAAGCTCAGAAGGTCTATAACACAATAAATCTACCGACGCGAAAGTAATCGAACAACATTCCACATAACTCCACGTACGCGAACATAGGCAGGTCGAAAGACAGGTTTATGTGCTTCAGTTGCGCGTATCTCAGCGGCGCATGTGGACTGAGCGACAAGGCAATGAGTACAGATTAAAGAGGCGCTAAATTTTTCTATTTGGAGAAGGAAATTGGGTAGAAATCTGGTGACGGGCGTGCTTGGTTTTTCCGGGATATTCGGCCCCAAATGATGCGTCCCACAAGTTAGGACCACAGAAGTAGCCAAAACATGAGTGGCAAAACGTCCGTTTACAAGCAACGTAGAGGCCCAGACGGGACATCAGTTGAAGGCTAGAAACGATGACACTAAAACCGATGTTAGTTCACAGTTGAAATAAGACAGCTTAAAAAGCTTAATTTAAGTAATGCGACTGACCTTGACATAAGTCGAAAGAGAGTAAGGAAGCCGAATATATCGTGCCGGTCTATAAGAGACCAACTGAGTAAGGCACAGTGAAAAGGGCAAACTATCGAAATTAGACTGAACTTTAGCGTCGCGCACGGTTTGCGTAACTCGTCGACCCACTAAGCTTTAATGCGTGGGGCCCTAGGGCAGTTTGAGAGCTACTCCTACCACGTTGATACATGGTTAGAGGTACGACAAAATCAGTCTAATGGTCCCCAAGGCAGGGGGTTTGAAATGGGTCGGCGTCCGTTTCATAAAAACCGAATTGTTGACAAGGCTGTTGAGCCAAATGCTTTGGTTGAGGACCATAACTGTTCTCCTATATTGGTCTGGACAGTATCTCATCCAACGTAAAACCATGACTATTTCCTCATACATCAACCATATCATGCATCGGCCGTCGTGAAGCATACTATGGGCCGCCTTATCTGTTGCATACAGCAGGGCGGATAAGCGAAAACAAGCTACTACTGACTACTACATTTTCGACAGTTTCTCTAACTCTTCTCCCAATCCCCATCAGTAGCCTTCTTTCTGTAACGCCCAGCTTAATTAACAGGAGCCGTAATGCCACTGCAGTTCTACACTCTGCAGCTATCTTCCCTCATCAACTACTGGACGCCTATCGACAACAGCTCTTTATAAGGCCAGGCTGTCCCGTTTCCCTGGCGACGTTCAACGTTCGCACTTTAAGACAAATAGATCAATAGGCTGCCCTCGCATGCACGTTGGACACACTGGATATTGACGAGTTTGGTGTGGTCGAAAATAGGATTAATGACCTTCAGGGCATCAATGACTGAGTTGCGCCCGCATTGTAATCTCGATACTGACTGCACGCATTCAGATGCTAGTTATGCTGGGGTGGGTAACGTTCTTAGTTCCAAGGCAGACTCATTGTTGGTTGGGTTCTTGTGATCAGCAGTTTGTGTGCAACCAGTTTGACGACGTCAACTAAGGTTGACACTGTACTAGATGCTGTTTGTTGGTGATTTCCACTTATCGTTCTACAGACTGCAATTTTGACGCTGCTGAGGACACCTTCTGCGACAAACTGAACACGCTGCTTGGCAGTGTTACCAGTTCAGATACCGCTGTTGTTGAATGGAATATGAATGCGTAAATAGGTCCTCTGGGCTCTTCAGAAGCTCCGCTAAGTGGACAATATGGACTTTACTCCGACAGGACTGATAATGGAGAACATGTGCTGCAGATCTGTGCGAAGTACCGACTGCTTTTAAGCACAGTAAGCACCGAAGTCCATCGCAATGAGGCTGGACCTTACCGGGGTGCGATGGTTTGTGTGCCTCAGTAATCCATTGAGCTATGCTGGACGGTGCTTTTTTTGCACCTTCAGAGCCATTCATACCAGATTGGTCAATGGTTAGACGCCAGACAAACTTAGCCTCCTGGTCCTCCAGGTTGAGGGTTGGAATGAGGTGGCTCCTTATGCCTTAAAACGGACTACTTGTAGCCCAACGCCAAATCCGCTGTCTTGCGGTCAGGTTTCTGAACCAAACGCTTTGGTTGAGAACCCTAATCGTTCTCCTATCTAGGTCTGGGAAACCTGACAGTATCCTACCCACGCAATACAATGAATTCCACTTTAAACAGTTTCTTGATGCTATGGCCACCGCAAAAATAATCAACGGTGCCCAATCTGCCGCATCGAGCAGGGTGGATAGGGGTTTGGATGCTATTTTAAAAGTCTTTCCATCTTCTTATTCTCTTACTTTTTTCCCTCTTACCGTCCCGTTCCAGCTTTACTTTTATCCCCCCTGTTTTCAATTCCCCAATTCTTGGCCCTCCCCAACCCTGCTTTGTAATGCTTTTACCTTCTAGTTTCAACTCACATGTGAACGCTAAAAAACGATCTCATTATTTTGCATTTTATAGTTTTGCATGGTAAATTAATTTTTTCTGCTGCATAGTAGCTGGCAGGTAACTTACCGGAACGAGGCCCATCCGTTACCGGTAGCTCAGCTGGCTTGCACCGGTTACATTTTATTCCCTTTTTTCTTTTAGGTATTGCGGCACAGCAGCTGAGGTGTTTCGCAATTCTAGCTAACGTGTATAGAGTGTGTGTGTGTGTGCACCGAAGTCCCACTTTGTGTCCCCCAGAGCTGGCCAGCAATGGACCTAAGTTGATCGCGTTTTCATATGTTACAGGTGTTGTGGTTCCATCCTGGACTATCGCTCGTTCTGGAATACTTGGGTTGACTTTGATCATGCCTTGGTACTTTGTCCTCTTTCAATGAACTCTACCAGGAGGCGCAACAAGCACCTCCCTCGATCGGCAACTGAGAAGCGATCTCAATCCTCGAAAATACAAACCTACCAGGATGCCATGCATACTGAACTTTAACTCTCTCGTCCTAATGACACTGAGCTCCAGTAGAACAGGATCCCAGCCGACATGTACGATGCGGGAGTCCCTGTTTGCATAAAGATCAAGCCGTACTGCATCAGTCATTAAATATCCGAGGTCGGTGAACTTGTTTGAATCCAGAAGAAAACTCCGCGTTGAAGAGCACAATGTAATTAGGCGGATTATTAGATGCACGGGACTTGCGTACTGACAAGGAAGCCTGGTGAACTAGGAGGGCTCAGGAAATTGAGGAAGCAAGAGCAGTATGCAATTATCGCAAGCTCTTCCAACTGATTTGCACCACTGGCACAAGAAAAGCAAGTGTCAGCGCGAGTGCTATTATTCACAATAAAAGGAGTCGTATTGCTCGTTGGATGACACACTTTGAGAGCAGTTGAGTTGGCTCCCTGCCCCTGGACCTCTTCCTACTCAAGTAAGTTAGGCTGGACTATGGCCAGTTAGTTTAAGGGCACCGTCGGTGGCTAAGGTCAGAAACGCGATCGCATCCCACAAAGGTTTCCGTGCTGCTGGACCGGATTCCCTCCTACTCGCACTATTTAAGGGTAGAGGTGAGGTCCTCTTTAAAGCACTGACATGTCTGGAACCGTCACGGCTAACCGGAGCGAATCAATTAACGTGGCAGTATACAAGAAGGGCAGTCGCACAGACTGCGCTAACCAGAGGGGTATTAGACTAACGCCAGTGGTGATAAAATTATTGGAATCTACTCACGTTTGTCGATTCACAGTGGTACGGCAATAACGGATTAGAGGAGAGCGAGCAGGCTTTTGTCCATGGCATTGATGTAAATACCATATATTCAGTTTGCGACAGGTGATAGAGCAGCGCCACACGCACCACAGGCAGACAATAGCTGTGTTGCTAGACTTCAAGAGTGAGTTCGACTCATTTGCTCGATCCATACTGTTTAAAATACT